AGGCAGAGACATAGGCAGAGGGAGAAGCAGGCTCCCTGCAAGGAGCCTGGTGTAGGACTTCATCCCAGGACCCCAGGATCGCGACCTGAGCTGAAGGCAGATGCTCAATCACTGAGTCACCCAGGCACCCCTAGTTTTTGTTTTTTAGTAGTTAAGAGTTTATTGTGTGCACACTAAAAAGATAGTTTGTAAACTAGGAGCCCTCAAACCAAAACATGGAATGACGCTAAGGGGCATGTTGTTATAAAGCAGCTTATGTAGTGAGAAAGCAGTGACTGCTTACTCTTCACATTGACTGGTTGTATTAGGTATTGGTATACATGTAGATATTGGTTATACTAGAATTTTCTTAAATGATAGGCAGTTGGGCAGTGGTTATTTCATATTAGCCTTGGGTAAAAGTTTGTTTTGCTTATGACTTCAGAGATGTAAGAAATGACCCAGGTCAAGTTAGTCTTACAAAATAAGCACAATTAAGCTTTGTTTATAGGATTACACTGGTTTTGTCCACTCAGAGAGTTTTCAAAGTTTTCATTTGTTTTTTACTTTACCAATCCCCTCCACCCCCCGCCCTTTGGTTATTCTTTCAGTAGGCTGAGAGTGTGACCAGCCAGTATAGCCTTATTCTCATTTACCACCATTGATGTAATCAGGCTAAACAATCACACATTTTGTCTTTCCATTAGTGGAGTCTCTGGCTAAAGGGCCATGTAGTCAACCATATTCATCATTTATGTAGTTACTACTGATTGATCCAGTTGTGGGATCCTGATGGAGATACTATCTGGCATGTGAGTGGCTATGGCAGTCATTTAAATCCATCAAGAGCAGACAATGCACTAGAGAAGTTACTATAATGACTGTCCGGAGAATAACCAAGGACTGACAAATTCCCTGGAACAAAGATTACCAGGAGCTAAGATTTACCAGTTAAATAACTCAAACGGGTTTTAATTTTTTAATTATTTACATATGCACAGCATGATGTATTAGCAATCATATATTGGCAGGACTACTTAGGACAGGATGAATATGAGGATGTTTTGAGAGGAGAGGCTGCAAGTCAGCTCCATATGATGTGAAAAATCTGGTAATTTAATCAGAGCCATTTCTATGGAAGCAAAAAAAAATATCCAAAAGTTGATAGTTCAAGCAAATTATAAATTGTTTCTGGGGATCCCTGGGTGGTTCAGTAGTTTAGCGCCTGCCTTCAGCCCAGGGCGTGATCTGGGAGTCCTGGGATGGAGTCCCACATCAGGCTCCCTGCATGAAGCCTCTTTCTCCCTCTGCCTCTCTCTCTCATGAATAAATAAAATCTTAAAAATAATAATTCAGTTTCTGAGCTTGGGGAAAAGCCAGTTGAGGTTTCTCAACATTGGGTTCAAAATATCTTCAGAGGGACTGGGGTCAGGCAGTGGCAATCTGAGACATTCCTGAGTTGCAGTTTGAAGGTCTCTGATGAATTGTTTTTTTAATCCAATTAATTAACAAATAACATATTAGTGTCAGAGATAGAGGTCAACGATTCATCAGTCTTATGTTGAAGAAACCTCCCCCCTTGTAAGTAGGGCCAGCCCTAATCCAGAGGCAGCCCATCCAGTCTTCTTCCTGAAATTTTAGCAACTAAAAGCATTCTGTTTACAATAAGAAAACCGTTTCCCCCCCCCACACCCTGATTGGAATGTCCCTGAATAGGTTCATGTTGACCCTCCCCAAAATCAACCTGGATGCCATGCGACTCCCGCTGTTCTTTTGTCTTTAGGAAGTTTCTTTCCTTTTGCCCTTTAAAAGACACCTGTAATTGCTAATCGGGGCTCTTTTCCTCTTCGGAGGCGGAGAGCCCGTTTGCGCAAACGTTCAATAAACCCTCTTGCTAATTGCATCTGCCTGTCTGGGGTCTGAGTCTCTGGGGCGTCCCCCGGGCCACGTTGGCACCCGTGAGCCAGGGTCCAACATTTGGGGGCTCGTCCGGGATCTGAGACACCCCAGACTCAATCCTAAGACCGGTAGGAGGTAAGACCGAGCTCGCTAAATGTCATATCTGTCTCGTCCGTTTGTCTGACTGGCCGGGTCTGTTTTGTGCCGGGTCTGTATTGTGCCTGCAGGACGCTGTACTCTGTATTCTGTATTTGGACCAGCGGGGGAGGCAGACGTGCCCGAGACCCCTGGTCCCCCTCCGGAGTCGGACTCCGGAGTGGTCTGGAAGAGGAACGGAGCCCCGGCACTCCCTCCTCTTCGGGGAGGGTCGTGGTTCGCGACCGCTCCCATCTGAATCTGCCGCGCCAGTCCTGTCGTTCGTGTGCGTCTGTTCGTTCCGTGTTTTTCTTCCTTTCCTGTCCTACTCCTCACCGCTCACCTCTTCTCTACACCCATGGGGCAGACTGTAACCACCCCTTTAAGCCTCACTCTAGATCACTGGAAAGAAGTCGCCGGCCGGGCACACAATCTTTCGGTCGAAGTCAGAAGATGAAGATGGGTCACCTTCTGCTCCTCAGAGTGGCCGGCTTTCAACGTCGGGTGGCCCAGGATAATACTGACATTATCTTGCAGGTGAAGGCCCTGGTCTTCCAGCCAGGACCCAATGGACACCTCGATCAGGTGCCGTACATCATAGTATGGGAGGATCTCGCTAAGAATCCCGGATAAAATGCTTTATCCCTTCTCAAGGGGGACCGAGCCCGAGACCCTCACTCCCTCCCTGCCACACTCCCCCAATTCCCCGTCCCTCCTCTCCATCCACCCTTTGCCCCCTAAAATTTCCTGAATCAAAACCTAAGGAGCCGCCTGTGCTCCCAGGGGACCAGGACAGTCTCCTTCTCTTGGGCTCCTCCCCTCCCCCTTATGCCCAACCCCCAACGCCCCGCTCGGAGGCCCCTACCTCTCCCTCCGCTCCCTCAGCTCCGTCCCCCGACTCTACGGGGGCAGAGGGGCAACCCCTCGCTTCACCCCCGCTCGCCGGTCGCCTCCGCTTTCGGCGAGAGCGCGGGGGAGAGTCGGAAGACGTCTGGACCTCCCAGGCATTTCCCCTCCGATCAGTAGGCGGCCAGATGCAATACTGGCCGTTCTCTGCCTCTGACCTTTACAACTGGAAAACTCATAACCCCTCCTTCTCCCGAGACCCCCAGGCGCTAACCGGATTAATTGAGTCAATTCTGTGGACCCACCAGCCGACCTGGGATGACTGCCAACAGCTCCTGCAGACTCTCCTCACCATGGAGGAGAGACAGCGCGTCTACCTCGAAGCTCGGAAAAACGTCCCGGGGGCGGATGGGAGGCCGACCCAGCTGCCTAAGGAAATTGAGGATGTTTTCCCCTTGGTTCGCCCGACCTGGGACTACGACACTGTTGCTGGTAGGGAGCGGCTCCGTCTCTATCGCCAGGTACTCCTAGCGGGTCTCAAAGGGGCAGGGCGTCGCCCCACCAATTTGGCAAAGGTACGTGCTATAGTGCAGGGAAAAGAGGAGACGCCGGCAGGTTTTCTGCAGAGGTTAATAGAAGGCTATACTGGCCACCGTAGTACAGGGCTCAGGGCAGAGTAAGTCAGGACAGAGTAGGGACCTGGGAGACAAAAGAGGACCACGGGTTGAACGAGACCAGTGTGCCTACTGCAAGGAAAAAGGACATTGGGTTAAAGATTGCCCAAGGAAGGGCCAAACGCAGGGACCTAAAAAGAAGCCCATTCCTGTTTTGTCCCTAGAAGATGAAGATTAGGGGTGTCAGGGCCAGGAACCCCCCCCCTGAGCCTCGGATAACCCTTAAAGTGGGGGGACAGCCGGTGACCTTCCTGGTCGATACGGGAGCTCAACATTCAGTTTTAACTGAGGCAAAAGGACCCTTGAGCTCTAAAACGTCTTGGGTTCAGGGGGCAACTGGAGGCAAGTTATATCGATGGACAACCGAACGGAAGGTCCACCTGAGCACTGGGCAAGTAACGCATTCCTTCTTAGTGGTCCCAGACTGCCCTTACCCTCTCCTAGGCAGAGACCTTCTTTCAAAAGTAGGGGCCCAGATACATTTTCAGCAAAAAGGGGCCACTATTACTGGCGCGGGAGGGCAGCCCCTCCAGGTACTGACCTTGCGCCTAGAGGATGAACACTGGCTGCACGAGGACTCTCCACTGGCTGTGCAGCCCCTGGATTCTGAATGGCTCACTAACTACCCTCAGGCCTGGGTGGAAACGGCCGGAATGGGACTAGCTGTAAACCAGCCGCCCATAATTATAAACTTAAAACCCTCGGCCACCCCCATATCGATCCGGCAATATTCAATGAGCAAAGAGGCCAAAGAAGGCATTCGGCCCCATATACAGAGACTATTACAATTGGGCATTTTAATACCTTGCCAGTCGCCCTGGAATACTCCTCTATTACCCGTAAAAAAAAAACCCGGCACAGGAGATTACCGGCCAGTACAAGATTTACGAGAGGTTAACTGGAGGACAGAGGACATACATCCCACGGTGCCGAATCCCTACAACTTGCTCAGCACCTTACCCCCAAGCCATGTCTGGTATACGGTGTTAGATCTAAAAGATGCATTCTTCTGCCTGCGGTTAAGCTCTCAAAGCCAGCCTATTTTTGCTTTTGAATGGAAAGATCCTGAGACGGGATTCTCAGGACAACTCACTTGGACAAGGCTGCCACAGGGATTCAAAAACTCCCCTACTTTGTTCGATGAGGCCTTGCATCGGGATTTGGCAGATTTCCGAGTTGGCCATCCGGACCTCGTCCTTCTGCAGTACGTGGATGATTTGCTCCTGGCGGCTAGGACAGAACAGGATTGTGTAAAAGGTATGGGGGCCCTGCTTGAGAGACTGGGAGAACTGGGGTATAGAGCCTCCGCCAAAAAGGCCCAAGTAGGCCAGAGACAAGTGACCTATCTGGGATATCTCCTGGAAGGAGGCCAGAGGTGGCTGACGGAGAGCCGCAAAAAGGCTGTAGCCCTGATCCCAGCACCCACTAATGCCAAAGGACTAGGAGAGTTCCTCGACAGTGCTGGGTTCTGCCGCCTCTGGATACCCGGGTTTGCGGAGATGGCGGCTCCCCTATATCCTCTCACGAAATCCAACACCCCCTACCACTGGGGAAAGGAGCAGCAATTGGCTTTTGACAAAATAAAAAGGGCCTTATTGACCGCCCCTGCCCTGAGCCTCCCAGATGTAACCAAGCCTTTTACGCTATATGTTGATGAACATAATGGAATAGCCAAAGGGGTCCTAACTCAAAAACTGGGACCCTGGAAAAGGCCCGTGGCATACTTTTCAAAAAAATTAGACAGCGTGGCTGCAGGATGGCCCCCATGTCTCCGGATAATAGCGGCTATGGCAGTCCTGGTAAAAGACTCAGACAAGTTGACTTTTGGCCAACCCCTCACTGTGGTGGCCCCCCACGCCGTAGAGACAGTCATCCGCCAGCCCCCTGATCGATGGCTCTCAAACGCCCGGGTCACCCATTATCAGGCCATGTTACTGAATTCTGAGCGGATACAGTTTGGAACGGCTACATCTCTAAACCCGGCCACCTTGCTTCCAGAAACCGAGTCCCCCTCCCTAGTAATGCATGATTGCCACCAGATCCTAGCTGAAGTCCATGGCACCAGAGGGGACTTGACGGACCAGCCTTTGCCAGATGCTGAAGCAACCTGGTACACCGATGGGAGTAGCTTTCTACGAAATGGCTGGACAGAAGCTTTCCCCACCAAGCGAGAAACCGCCCAGGTGGTTGTCAAGAAAATCCTGGAAGAAATTTTCCCCCGGTTTGGACTGCCCAAGGTAATAGGGTCGGACAACGGCCCCGCCTTCGTCTCCCAGGTAAGTCAGTTGGTGGCCAGATTACTGGGGATAAATTGGAAATTACATTGTGCATACAGACCCCAGAGCTCAGGTCAGGTAGAAAGAATGAATAGAACAATTAAAGAGACCCTAACTAAATTGACATTGGAGACTGGCACTAGAGACTGGGTCCAACTCCTCCCTATGGTTCTGTTCCGAGTCCGGAACACTCCCGCGCGCCATGGGCTAACTCCTTACGAGATTCTCTATGGAGGTCCCCCACCAGTAACGGACTTACTAGATTCTGCTCTTGACCCTCTTGCTAACACTCCCGGTTTACAGGACAGGCTAAAGGCGCTCCAGATTATCCAGCACCAGATCTGGAAACCCCTTGCGGCTGTCTACCGCCCCGGAGACACAACCGGCCCACACCCGTTCCAGATCGGGGACTCCGTCTACGTCAGGAGACATCAGTCCAGGACGCTTGAGCCCCGCTGGAAGGGCCCATATACTGTACTCCTGACCACCCCAACCGCCTTAAAGGTAGACGGCATTGCTGCTTGGGTCCACGCCTCACACGTCCAGCGCGCCCCATCAACGAGCACCGCTGACGCCAGCCAGGACGGACCGGACGAGCCACTCCAATGGAAGCTCCACCGCACCCAAAACCCGCTCAAGTTAAGACTTTCAAAAATTGTTCAGTGACAGTTGTTATATTCCTACCTCTCCTAGCGCTCTTCACCTCCGCCAAAGGTAGCCCTCATGCCCTCAAAAGGTTAACCTGGCAGGTACTAACGTCTGGGGGTGACGAGGTCTGGTCTATAACTAAGACCGCCCCCGTGGGAACCTGGTGGCCTGACCTATATCCTGACCTATGCAAGCTAACCATAGGGGCCCCTAGCCCATGGGACCTAGAGGGATACTTCGATACCTCTAGAGCCCCTAACCAAGAAAGCCCTCCAGGGCGACTGGGATTAGACCCATGGGGAGGATGTGGCACGCCTGAAAGAAGGGCCATGCTAAGCACTCTTCCCTTTTATGTCTGTCCCGGGCACCACAGAGATCGCAGGCTAAATCCCACCTGTGGAGGAGGGGAATACTTCTATTGTAAAAATTGGGGGTGTGAAACTACGGGGGATGCAGAATGGAGGCCCTCCTCCTCCTGGGATTGTATCACTGTCAAGGCTAACTATACTCACCCGACATTTAGCAAATGGAAAACCCTTAATTATGGGCCCTGCCAAGGGTGGTGTCATCCCCTACGTATATCCTTCACGGAGCCTGGAAAAAGGGCTACTTACTGGGCCAATGGATATACGTGGGGACTCAGGTTATACAAAGAAAGAACAGATGATGGTTTTATATTCAGAATTAAACTAAAAATAGAATCCCCAGACCCCGTGGCGATCGGGCCTAACGCGGTCCTCGGGGAACAAAGAGCTGCCCCGGCCCTAGCCGCAGGGAGTGCCGCACCCACTAACTTGGCGGTCACTCCAATCCCTCGGTCGTCACCCGAGACCGGACAAATCTTATCATAGGGGCATTCCTGGCCCTTAATCGAACCAGCCCCGATGTAACTAAATCCTGCTGGCTCTGCCTTGCACCACCCCCCCTTATTATGAGGGGATTGCTACTTCAGGGACCTATAATAACATCACTAGCACTCAGGGATGCACACCCGACTCCCAACCACAACTCAGCCTTACAGAAGTTACAGGACAGGGAACCTGCATAGGAACACCCCCCCGGGGCTACCAGAGACTCTGTAACACTACCACCCCGATTTTGGGGACTGATTCTTACCTGGAGCCCCAGCCGGGAACTTGGTGGGCATGCAACAAAGGCCTCCCCCCCTGTGTGTCGGCTAAGGTTCTAAATAGCTCAAACGACTTCTGTGTCATGGTGCAGACCATACCCAGGGTGTTCTATCACCCTGCTGAAACTCTAGAAAATCAGTATGATAAACATCCCACCCGTTTTCGGCGCGAACCTGTCTCCCTAACCTTAGCCGTTATGTTGGGACTAGGGGTCGCTGCTGGGGTGGGTACCGGCGCAGCTGCTCTGATCCAGGGCTCACGGCGTTATCTAGAACTCCAAACAGCTGTAGATGAGGATCCACGGACACTAGCGCAGTCCGTTTCTAAGCTAGAGCAGTCCCTCACCTCACTTTCAGAAGTAGCACTTCACAACAGGGGAGGCTTGGATTGACTATTCCTGAAAGAGGGAGGACTGTGTGCGGCCCTGGGAGAGGAAGGCTGTTTCTATGCAGACCATTCTGGAGTCATCAGAGACTCCATGGCCAAACTCAGGGAAAGGTTAAATAAAAGACAAAGGGACCGGGAGGCCCAGCAGGGCTGGTTTAAAAACTGGTTTAATCAGTCTCCCTGGTTGACCACCCTAATCTCTACCATTCTGGGCCCTCTAGTTATCCTGCTCCTGCTGCTAACTTTCGGCCCCTGCGTCCTCAACCGGCTGCTCCAGTTCATCCGAGACAGATTGTCTATTACCCAAGCTCTGGTATTAACTCAGCAATGTCGGGCCCTCCAAACTGAAGAAATAAATGTTCCCTAAGATTTTAAGGTTAAAATCAGCCCAAACAAGAGGAGGGAATGAAGAAACCTCCCCCCTTGTAAGTAGGGCCAGCCCTAATCCAGAGGCAGCCCATCCAGTCTTCTTCCTGAAATTTTAGCAACTAAAAGCATTCTGTTTACAATAAGAAAACCGTTTCCCCCCCCACACACCCTGATTGGAATGTCCCTGAATAGGTTCATGTTGACCCTCCCCAAAATCAACCTGGATGCCATGCGACTCCCGCTGTTCTTTTGTCTTTAGGAAGTTTCTTTCCTTTTGCCCTTTAAAAGACACCTGTAATTGCTAATCGGGGCTCTTTTCCTCTTCGGAGGCGGAGAGCCCGTTTGCGCAAACGTTCAATAAACCCTCTTGCTAATTGCATCTGCCTGTCTGGGGTCTGAGTCTCTGGGGCGTTCCCCGGGCCACGTTGGCACCCGTGAGCCAGGGTCCAACAATGTAATACCCAGCTCTCCTTACATCACAAGTCCTCCTTAGATGTTTATCACCCAGTTACCCAACCCCCTCCAGTGACCATTTGTTTCCTGATAAAGGTGTCACGGTTTGTCTCAGATTTTACCTTTTCTGTTCACTTCCCCTCATTTCTTAAATTCTACAGAAGATAGTTTTTGAAGTTTAAATTGATTGTATGAAGGGAAACACAAGTCTGGAAATATAGGTTAGGGGCCAGTTTTTCAATGTTCTGACAAATTCAGGAAGGTCAGTTGGCTGATGCAGTTAATGGTATTTATGTCAAGACCATTATAGAGCTTTTGACTTGAGCTCTAGATTTATTGCTGGGTAAATTACCAAAACTTTTATTCTTTAAATACATTTAACTTTAAATACATTCAATCTTATTTTGAAATGCATTTTATCTGTTTATCAGTAATCTAGGCACAGCTTGAGTGGGTCCTGTTCAGTCTCTTGTATACATGGTGTCAGCAGGGATTCATCCCCAAGGACTCGATTAGGGAAGGATCTTCTTCCAAGTTCAGTCCTTGGCAGGGTTCAGTTCCATACATTGCTCACTGGAGTCCGTCCACCTTGCTATGTGGATATTTCACATCAACTCCTTGCATGCTAAGCAACTAGCCAGAAGATAAACCAGTGGTTTCATCTCCCAATAACCTACCCTTTTGTGGTTTTCTATTCACTGGAGGCGCTAGGTTCAGCACTGAAGCAGATAGAAGTCAATACCAATGCTTAGAAAGCATAATGTAACTAGAACACTGTGAAATCCCAGCTTCCTCAAGTTAAGATGATGTATTAACATTGTTGGGGCAGGGGAAAAGAAGTTCAATGAGACCAGACTGGCATTTGTCATTAGACCAGTGTACAATATTCTATGATTAAACATTAATAACATTTAAATATAGCCTTAACCATAATTGCTAATCTCATAAATGACCTACAAAGCACAGAACCTGTGCTTTAGCAACACTACTGTTTAGAAATGCCTGCAGAGGGCACCTGGGTATTTCAGTTGGTTAAGGTTCTGCCTTTGGTTCAGGTAATGGATTCTGGGGTCCTGGGATTCAGTTCAGTGGGGGAGCCTGCTTGTGCTTAGTCTTAAAAAACAAACCTGCAGAACATACAAGAGTGGAGTCTGCCCTCCATTTGCTCTCTGTCCCAAGAGTTTGACCCCTGCAGATACTTGGTTGTTACTTATTATCGATGGTCCAAATGTTTATCTCCATTAACCAAACACAAGAACATTTTTATTTAAAGAATTTTATTTTCTTCAGATAGGAAAGATACAAATAAAAAATTTTACCAAGTTTAACCATAATCCTTAATTCTTCAAAATGGTCAGAGAAATCTAGAGGATTTCAGATTACAAAAAAGCTTTGGGAGACGGATTCAGCAAGATCACCCTTTCTCAGGTAAGCATACAGTCAATCTTTTCCAAGAAGCCTTGTATTCCAAACTCCAAAGTTGAGAAACTCCTGAAAAAGATTACATTCAGTATTTAATTCTGATGTAAAAAGTTCCTTGTTTGGGATATGGGAGATCTCCCACTAATTAAGACTTCAGGAACTTGGGGGAGGGGATACTATCAAGTACCAAAACAAGATAAATTCTACAAGCATGCTGCCATGTTAAAGAGTCCCATGTAGCCAAGAAGGTGGACTTTGAAGTTTGAGGAACTCAATCTTTCAAAAAGAATCCCAACTGTGGGATGCCTGGGTGGCTCAGTGGTTGAGTGTCTGTCTTAGGCTCGGGGCATGATCCCAGTTCCCGAACCGAATCCCACATCCTTGTGTGGAGCCTGCTTCTCCCTCTGCCTGGGTCTCTGCCTCTCTTCTCATTAATAAATAAAATCTTTTTAAAAAACAAAACAAAAAAAAAGCCAAAATGTGACCTGAAGCTTATTTCTAAGGCAGAATTAACTGTTCATCTTTACCTCTTTCTTCCAACACCTAGTAGTACCAATAGGTCAACAATCCTACTCTTCATTCTGTTCTACATACCTATTTGGGAAATGGGTTTCCCAGGTTACTCCTGAACAGGTAAACTCAACTCTATGGGGGGGGAGGGGGATTTAACCATCTTACATCTACAGGGGCTGACTTAGATAATGACACTTGCAAAAACCTCACCTGTAACAGGACAGACTGAACCAAGCACATCAGGCTGCCATCTATTTACTGCCCTGTGGCTTCACAGGGCTCCAGGCCTGTAGGAAGTGAGCAGATAAAAACCAAGATAAGTGACCTGATTCCTGGGGGAGGGTCCCCACAAACCAAGCCCAAATTCCACATAGAAGGTAGCCTTAGTGGTAAGCAGAATACAGTGACAGGGATAAAAGTTCTCTGGGGCCAATGCATCAGACAAAACACTGGCTAATGGTTCAGTTAGATCAACAGGGTCGATCTGATGGGGAAAAAAGTTACGTCATCAGTTGCAATGGCCAAATGTGAGTTACAGCAGAACACAAGCTGTTTAAATCTGTCAGTCCCGTATTTAAAAAATAGGGGCACATGGCTGGCTCAGTTGGAAAAGTACGACTTGATCTTGGGAACATGAATACGAGCCCCACGCTGGATATGGATTACTTTTTTAAAAGGAGTTACAATCTCATCCATTCTCCAGATCCTGTGTCTATTCAGCCACGTGGACGTCACTTACCAACTCCTTCCCACTCCTGGTCCACTCGAAGTCTCTTGTCAACATTAAACCTGGGATAAGAAAACAAACATGAGTTCTGAACAGCTAGATGCCCACAAGAGAGGGACAAAGGAGCTGTACAAGCTGGCATATCAGACAGAAACTGGCTTAGAAAAGTTGGATCAACATGGTCGATCTGTCGGGGAAAAAAGTTCAGTCATCATATATGCCAGTAGGAAGCTAATTCTTAGAGCTGAACGAGTGAGATTTGGTTAGTCTGCTTCTATGCCCACCAACTCCATGCTTGAGCCCATCTGTATCCTGTTGTTGGCAGTAACAGTTAAGATAAATTCTTGCCTTCTGAACTTGTATTTGAGGCCAATGTGGCTGGAAGAGTTCTGGGAAAATGGTTGGCTTATGGAGGCAAGTGTCCACAGGATTTTGACCACCTGTCACCATCTGGTTTTTTTTGGACCTTACATTTTAATGCAAAATGCCATCACCAAAAACCTGACTCACAGGAACACGCTGGCACAGATAAATCTGTTCCGCAGTAAGTCCTGCCCTCAAGGGGCCATCATCCCTGGACTGAAATGAATTTCAAGTGCACACAGTTGGAAATTAATCTGAGTGCCTAAGTCAACCTAAAATACAAATTTAGCTTTCCCTTAGAAAAAAAAAATCCTCAGATGGGGTGCCTGGATGGCTGGGTTGCTAGAGCATGTGACTCTTGATCTCTAGGTTCGGCGTCTGAGTCCCACATTATGCACAGAGATTAAAAACATAAAATGTCCCCACTTGTAGAGGCCACTTTTAGCCAACAGGCTTGAGCAATGGGAACCTGAGTAACATAAAAGGGCCCACAGCTACCACTGGGCTAAATGCTAACAAACCCATTAGACCACCCACCTCAAAATCTCCATAATCCGTAGATCACCAGTGAACTATATAAACATTTCCATACGTCCTGATCTTCCCCCTTAACTACGGCTCCCCACCACTGCTTCCTCAGTCTCTCCTGCCTGCAGCTCCCCTGCAGTGTATTCAAACATCTTGTCTCAAGTGAATTCTTTCACCTACCCTCCAGCGCTGCCATCCTCTACCCTACAAGGTCTCCCATCCACTTGGAAAAATGCTCTGAAGAATCGTTTATCAAAAAATACATCACATACCAGGAAATGGGATCCAAAAATGTGATCTAAGAACTAACATCTAGGCATGCCTGGGTGGCTCAGCGCGTGATCCTGGATTCCCGGGTTCGAGTCCCACATCAAGCTCCTTGCATGGAGCCCACTTCTCCCTCTGCGAGGGTCTCTACTCCTCTCAAGAATAAAATCTTCAAAAAAAATTCACATCTATTTGCTTTAAAGAGATTTTTCCACTTCGGGGAATTATTTTCCTTAAACTAATTTTTCACTAATGTCTAACGGATACTTTTAAATAACTGATAAGAAGTATCCAGGGCAGCCCCAGTGGCCCAGCGGTTTAGCGCCTTCAGCCCAGGGCGTGATCCTGGGGACCCAGGATCGAGTCCCGCATAGGGCTCCCCGCATGGAGCTTGCTTCTCCCTCTGCCTGTCTCTGTCTCATAAATAGATAAATTAAAAAAGTAAAAAGAAGTATCCAGCGCCCTTTACTTGTTAAGTACAATTAGCTACGGTCACACCTTCACCCCTCCCCCTCCAGGTTTGCCTAGCAAACGAAGAGGCTCCCGGAGCACGCGGTTCCTACAATGGGCCGGGTGACAAATGCTTACGCCGGAGATCAGGAGACCGATGGCTCTGGGGCTGTACCGCGGGCTCTCCTGAAGGCCCAGCAGCGACGCCCTCCTCCGAGATCCATTCCGTACCCTGTGATCGCGCAGACCTGCGAACCAACAGAGCAAAGGGCATCAGTCGCCATCTTCCCACGGTCGGAAGAACGTGGCCGGGCCTCCTGAGGCCGGTGCATCAGAACTAACTGGCAAGTGTTCAAAGACCTCAGCATTGTCGATCTGATGGGGAAAAAAGCTCAGTCATCATTTACACCAGCCAAGGACTCAGGTCCACACACAGGCACGGATTTTTCCACTTTTAACCGGCCTCCCCGACGCCTTAAGGCGCCTTTTAGAGTAAATGGAGCCACGGCCAAGGGTGACGGCAAAGAAGGAAAAGGCGGTACAGAGGCCTCGAAGGGAAAACAGCGGTTATCTCCACTCACCGCACAGAGCAGCACACCCGGGCTCCCGTGCCCGCACAACATCGAACGCGGCAGAAGCCCAGTGAAGACCAGCAGGAAAGCGCCGAGGACGGAAAAGGCCGAAAAGGCATCCAGACCGCTCTTATATACCAGAGGAAGCTCTCGCGTCTGCGCACTGCACCCGAGGCGCTTCCCCTTCCGTCCCGCGGCACGCGGGGCCCTCTGGGAAATGTAGTTTGCAAGCCGCCCAGCCCGAGGCGATGTAATGGTTGCCAAGGCCGCCCTAGCCCCGCCCCCTTCGCCGTACGTCGGGGCCCCCGGGGCTCGTCGGCCTCGCCGCCATGTCGCGCTTCACACGCACCGAGCCGCCCGCCGGGTTGCCCCTTCTCCGGGGCGGGCTGAGGCCTGCGACGGCTTTGGGCGCTGCTAACCCGCCTCCCGCGGTCCCGTCCCCTCAGCCGCGCGCGCCCGAGCCCGCCGGCCCCGCCGCCGGGGGAAGCTGAGGGCGGGGCGGCCGGCGGGGCCACAGGGCCCGGCCCCCTCCTCCCCCTCCTTCTCCCCTCCACCTCCTCCTCCTCCTCCTCCTCCTCCCCTCCTCCCCCTCCTCCCGGCCGCCCGCCCGGCCCTTCGCTCCGCCCAGTGTCTGCAGGGAAAGGAAACTGAAACTACGCGGCTCCGGGCGGGGCCGCGGACCTGCCAGGGCCCGAGCCCGAGCCCCAGTGTCGGCGGCGGCGGCGGGAGGACGCGCCGGAGCCGGGTGAGTGACCCCCGCCGCGCCCCCGCCCTGCGCCCCCGCCCCCGCCCCGCGCCCCGCGCCCGCGCCCGCTTCTGTCGGTCGCGACCCCGGCCCCCGCGCCGCCCGCCGCCCGCCGCCGCCGCCGCCGCCGCCTCTGCTTCTCCCCGTCGCCGTCTTCAGCCCGCGCCGCCCGGTACCCGCCTAGCATCCCCGCCGCCCCCTGGCGCCCCCGTCTCCGCGGGTCCCAGGTGCCCCCCTCGGCGCGCTCCTCGGCGCGCTCCTCGCCCGCTCAGCCAGCTCTGCCCTCTGCCCTCACTTTCTGCCCCCGCCGCCGCCTTCCTCTTCCTCAGTCCCCACCTGCCGTTGCCTCCTTCACGCGCAGCCTCAGGAAGCAGCCCCCATCCCTCCTCGCCTGCCATTCCCGCCCCCGCCATGCGCCGCACGGCCCCGACTCCCCCGCGACCCCCTGACGTTTCCGTCAGGACCCCGGGCTCCTGGGTGCCAGCGGCCCCCATCTTCACTACCCCCTGGGGGCTCTGGGGGCGAATCTCCCTCACGTCCGCCTCTGGCCTCTCAGCCTCTCCCCCCCTCCCCCCCCCTTGGTAATGACCATTCTCCTCTGGTTTGACCTCTTTATTAGCTTGGCCATCACTGATTTTCTTCTTCCTGCCCTTTTAGGCCTTGATTCCCAGAGACCCGCTTTAGTCTGCTGCTTTTTTATTTTCATGGCATTTCCTGTTCTCTCTGCCCCTCCCTTTGCTTTCTTTCTTCCCCGTTTCTTTTATCCCAGAAAATTTCTGAGTTTCTATTTTAGTATTTTTCAACAACAGAAAGAAGGCATTTCCCCCCCCCCCTCAGAATTTTTTTTTTTTTAAATAAAAAAGAAAAACAAGCCCTGAAACACTGTGAATGTGCATTTGAGAGCTGGGTTCGATATGATGAGGGGAGAGATTCACCCAAAATATTCCCAGCAGGAAGGAAAAGGACTCCTTTTTTCTGATGAGGATGAAGGCTACTCCTCCTATAATGCCAAATCTATTCACAGTTTCCAAGTATGAATATTTAAAAACTCAGTGAGAGGGACAGTCTCAAAAATCCCTTTCCTGAGGACTCTGAGTCACTCACTGTCCCTAGCCCCAGCTCATACGACGGATGGACGGACGGATGTGTATGAGTTGTACTGAGAAGTTCCTTTAAAGGGACTTCCTTTAAGTTCCTTAAAGGGACTTCCTCTCGCTCTTAAAAGGATGACTGTTAAAAACCTTCAAGGTAGAAAGAGGAGGCAAGAACTGCAGGTTTCTAACTGGTCCTGGGAAACAGCGTCCTGTAGAGGCTAAACCTCTGGTTAATGAAACATGTGATTTTTCTCTTGATTCAGTAGATCAGAGGGCTTAATCAGTTTGGCTGCATTCCAAGGAATGGGATAAGGGGTAACTGCTCACTCTTTACAAACTATAGAATACTGGTAAGCTACAGAGTACTGAATAATATAAATGCTGGGTGGGGTGGTGGATACATGGTTTTTGGATTAAACAAAAATGTGCTACTTCCTACCCTGGCAGCAGTATGTGTCCCCTTTATGGGGAGAGGGAAATGAAACCTAGCAACTGATTAACTAACTTGGCTAAAGGCATAAAACCAAACAGTAGTTTTGAATGGGAATTGATGAACTCCCTCTACCCCAGTGAAGTGCAGGGATAAAAGGAAGGGGGAATTTGAAAACACCTAAATTGTGAAATTTGACATTTTATATCATATTGGGCATTCGCAGAGTTGAACACCTGTGCCCATGATTAAATCTGTGTTTAACTCTTAAATCACTAAGGTATAGAGACAGAAGGGTTGGCTTATGCTGTTATAGTTTTGGTTTTTTTTTTTCTGTTAAATGCTGTGTTTCAAGGGCCCTCATCTTTCTCAATCTGTGCAGATTTCCAGGTAACTGAAAGTCACGTGAACGTGGAGGAATTTGGGTAACTCACACATGGAGGACAGAAGACCTTGCGTGGAGGCTAGGCCAAGGAATCCCTATACTAACCACAGAGGTGAGCAAGATTTTCTATGAAATGGGAAAGAAATTGAGTTCTGTATGAATGAGCAGGCCCACCGGAGATTGACAGCATCTCTCAAGTGAAGAATTACTTACTCCTTAGCCTTGGCATGAATGACTCTGAAAAATAAACAGCGCTCTCCTTTCCCTAAGAGGGCTGATTAATGGGTACAGTTCACTTTAACAAAGATAGTCATGAGATGTTTGAATTGGAAATAACACTGGTTTAGAGCAGCACCACCCAATAGACATACGAGCCAAAACTAGAATTTTTAATTTTCGAATAGCATCATTTTATTTATTTATTTTTCTCGAATAGCATCATTTTAAAAAGCAAAAAGATACAGGTGAAATCTATTTTTGAAATTTAATACTAATCTAATAAATTTTAATGCCTACTTAAATGACTGTATCCAAGTAATGTTATTTTATTGTAATATTTGAATACCTATATTCTATTATCATAGTACTTTAATAATTCTAGTATTTTTACTTATTCCCCCAGATACTTAAAATTATCATTTTAAGGTGTTATCAGTATAAAGAAATTTTAATGAGATATGTACTCTATTTTTGGTATTAAGTCTTCAAAGTTACATGTGTTGTTTTACACATCTTAATCAGACTAGCTACATCTAAGATTCCTAATACCCATACATGGCTAATGGAAATGTGTGTGATAGCATGTGTCTAGAACCGGATTCACTAAAGCACAGTTAGTTCCAAAAGCATCACTACTGCTATGATGATTGTTTGTTTGTTGTTTTAGAAACAAAACCAAATGGATTCTTGCTTTTCCCTAAGTGTGCAACATGTCGTATTTTAGTTTAGCTGTGGAATGAACGAGGAAGAACTGTAGAATTTTATTTTATGGGCTGCATCAACGTTGGAAGAATGAGAAACAGTACGATTTTTCATTCTTTAAAACATTGAGTGTTTCAGTCTGATGAAAATATTAGGACTTTCTTCTGATACTTTGAGAGTTTGGAAAGTAAGAAAATACAAAATTTAGACTTTAGTATTACAGTATTTTTATATTGTGTCTAATGTTCTTTTATGTAGTCACATTAAAATTTTCTCTGCAAAGTGCAACACAAAAAATGTACAAAAATGGACTTAGCATCTGATGTCATGAAATGATACAATCATTTTGAATATGATGTGCATTCATAACATTTTTAACTTCGCATCATTGTGTACAATCATTTTTTGTTGTTTTTAAAATCTCAATTCTGCTAAGTTGGGTCAGTTCCATCAATTTTATAGGAAAGGAAGCTGAAAAACACTGGGTTTGGATACGTTGGCCAAATTCACTTAGGAAAAAAAAAACAAATTCACTTAGGAAGTGTGTGGCAGATTAAGGAAGACAAATATAGCTTCATCTATTAGGTGATGTTAACTTTCATGTGTGGACTGGGTATATTTTCCTTCCTCCCCCAACAACTTCTTATGTGAGGGTTGGTAGTAGATAATACTGTGTGGGTGAACTTGTGCTTCAGAAGGGAGAAAAACTTAAGTTTCACTTTTGAGTTTCCTAAAATAGAAGTTCAGTTTCATTTCTCAGTTTCTTTTTCAATGTATTATTTAGCTCAAAAACTTCTTGGTAAAGGAAGCCCCATTGTCCCCTTTGCCATCTGATGCTGGACAAATTTCAAGAAGCATTTCTCTTGTAATATATCCCATTCTTCATGCCTCTGTCCCTGTGACATAATTGTTTAGTGGTAGAACTAGTGACCAATAGGGTATTCCCAATAGAAAAGTATTATTAGTGCTGCTAGTAATAACATTAATGAGAACTTTTTATGTGTCAGGTATTCTACTAAGCCTCTTACAAATATTTAATCTTTTTTTTTTTTTAAGATTTTATTTATTTATTTATTCATGAGAGACACAGAGAGAGAGAGAAGCAGAGACACCGGCACAGGGAGAAGCAGGCTTCATGCAGGGAGCCTGACGTGGGACTCAATCTGGGGTCTCCAGGATCACACCCTGGGCTGAAGGTGGCGCTAAACCGCTGAGCCACCCTGGCTGCCCATATTTAATCTTTATACCAACAAAAATACTTAGGCTTAGAGAAATTATGCAACTTGGCCAAGGTTATACAGTGAGGAAGTGTTGAGGACAAGATTTGAACCAGATCTGTTTGGCGTTGGAACTCCTGCTTTGGCTGTTACTTGGTACTGGCAAAAAACGAGAAGCAATGAGCTATAATTTTTTACCCTCTGAAACAATCCCAGCTTATGAGAACTAAAGCATTTTATTCTCTAGCATGTATTAGGCACTCAACAAATGTTTGTTCTTGTTTTTTTTAAGTTTTACTTATTTAAGTAATCTCTATATCCAGTGTGAGATCAAGAGTTGCATGCTTTTCTAACTGAGCCAGCCATGTGCTCCAACAAATGTTTATTCATTTTCCCTTTAGCACCCTCTGAAAAAAGCGATGTTTTCATAATATATACAGCAACATATAGTAATCTATTTTACATTTATTACATGACTTGATAGGAAACTTTCTCTCTAAAGAAAATATAATTTCTTTAGTTGGTTTTGAAAATGAGAGTCTTTCTATTGTTGTCCTGTTAGATCTCCTTGCACCTTCATTTTTGCGCTTACCCAATAATTCCCATTGTGTTTAGGGTCTGTGGATGGAGAATTACCACCAAGAGCTAGAAATCAGGCCAATAACCCACCAGCCAATGCTCTCAGAGGAGGACCCAACCAGCCTGGAAGGCAGCCTAGAGCTACCAACCGTGCTGTTCCTGTACGGCAAAGAGAAGAGAGGTTTGGGGCTATGGGCAGGAACCCACATCAGGGAAGGAGAAACTATGAGGGTCACACCAGTGATGAACCTAGAGGCCAAAGACGTAGTCAGGAAAATGATGCTAGGCGGAGAAATGGCAACCAGGAGGGAAGGAATCACAGACCACCATGGTCTGATGAAAACTTCCAGCAGTGGCGGACTCCCCACCAGAAGCCTGCAGAACAGCCACAGTCGGTAAAGAAACTGGGCTACAAATTCCTAGAAAGTCTTCTGCAGAAAGACCCTTCTGAAGTGGTCATCACTCTTGCCACAAGTATAGGGCTGAAAGAGCTCCTGTCTCATTCTTTTATGAAATCCAACTTCCTTGAGCTCATCTGCCAGGTTCTTCGGAAGGCTTGCAGTTCCAAAATGGACCGCCAGAGTGTTCTCCATGTCCTGGGCATATTGAAGAACTCCAAATTCCTCAAAGTCTGCCTGCCGAATTATGTGGTAGGGATGATCACTGAACCCATCCCTGATATTCGAAACCAATATCCAGAACACATTAGCAACATCATCTCCCTCCTCCAGGATCTTGTAAGTGTCTTCCCCGCCAGCTCTGTGCAGGAAACTTCCATGCTCATTTCCCTCCTGCCAGCTTCTCTTAATGCTTTGAGAGCCTCTGGGGTTGACATAGAAGAAGAGACAGAGAAGAACCTGGAAAAGGT